ATCCTGGAAAGTAAGTAACAGTGCAGAATTTCAATATTAGGTTAATCTCTTCTTTTTATATTTTATATCTTTATATTTTCTCCTTCAACCATACAAAAGGGACAACATTCTGTAGACCAAACTTTTATATTCACTGAGCTTATATCTTGGTATATTTGGGAAGGAAGAGATGAAACATACTTGGGTTGAAAAAATTCTTAGCATACGTGTGGCTACTACAATATAAATAATTTAATAGTTTCCAACTAGTTTCCTAGTGTGTGCATACATCTAGTCCAATGCATATTTGAATGAAATATTAAATTCTCACTTTAGCCGACTATACTGCGCAAATTCAGATTATAACAGAAGCAGATAAATATATCATGTAAACTTGATTCAGTAAACTTGTAGTAAAAGCACACTAAACTTTCACTAGTCTATTAATACTTTCTGATTTAAATAACATTAAATGACCTCAAGAGGATGACAACATCAGAATCTAAGGGCTGCCCTCTGCTGACAAGAAGGCAGCACTGCAGAGAGATTTCAAGTCCAAGATTACACAGCCCAGGAATGATGTAAAAACAAAAAAGCCAACAGCATGTTTATTGCAAGGCTGACCAACCCCATAAGAAACTAGTAACAACTTATGAGTTAATATATAGAGGTGGAGCATGAATTTTGGCACACAAATGTGAAAAATTAATATGCAGTATGTTCTTCAAATACTAAAAATGAACATTAGGGCTGGGCACAGTGGCTCACACCTGTAATCCCAGCACTTTGGGAGGCCGAGGCAGGAGGGCTGCTTGAGCCCAGAAGTTTGAGACAAGCCTGGGCAATGTAGCAAGACCCCAACTCTTGAAAAATTAGCTGGGTGTGGTGGTACACACCTGTAGTCCTAGCTACTCAGGAGGCTGAGGTGGGAGGATTAAGCCCAGGAATTGGAGGCTGCAGTGAGCTATGATCACACCACTTTACTCCAGCATGGGCAACAGAACAAGACTCAGTCTCTAAATTCTCTTAAAAAAAAATTAGGACAATTAAGTAAAATTTAATAATTAGGAGATAGATCAGTGGTAAGAGCAAGAAGTCAAGAGTTAGAAAAAACTGGAGCTGAATTTTGCCTGTGCCAATTACTAGTCATGTCACTGGAGGCAACTTTACTTAACCTGAGCCTCTGATTCTTATAAATATGAATAAAATAGAAATAGAAATTACCTATTAAGTATGTCCTAAGTAATCCACATTCCTGGGTATTACCGGAATTCACATTCGACAATGCAGTTGTCTTTGTTGTTTTTAAATTATTGAAGGTCCGCCATGTACCAAATACTATGTTCCTAATGGCTTCCCACTGCACTTGGAGTAATAAAAGAGACAGTTTCTAGGGTGATGCTACTCCCTGCCTCTCCTACCTCTCCACGCTCATCCACCCCACTCTCCCCCGCTCTCCAGGCACCACCCACAATGTTGAAACTTCAACTCTTCAAACCTGATCTAAGGCCTTTGCTTCACACAACTCTAGAAAGCTATATGCTAGTCAGGGGACCCAGCAGCCTCCTTTGAACACATTGTTCCCTCTGCCTGGAACATTCCTCCCTCCCAGTCTCTGCCTGGCTACCTCCTATTCCTCAAGCCCCAGCTCAATTTCTATTTCCACAGAAAGGCCTTTACCAAACCATTATACAAATTAATTAGCCTCTCCCCTCCATTCAAATTATTCTTTCTAGTAGCTCTCAGGTTCTTTTCCTTTGTGGAACCTAGCACGGTTTGTGATCCTGCACTTACCAACGTGCTTATGTGATTAATGTTTCTCTTCAGCAGTAACTTCCATGCGGACAGTGACCACGGACCTTATCTATTTTGAACATCCCTTTATTCCCAACATCTCACAGTGTCAAGGACATGGCAAACAATCAAAAAATATTTGTGGAAAGAAAGAAGGGAAGGAAGGAGGAATGAATTAGTAATCTGAACAACAGTAAAAGTGCATATTCCAGGAGGAATGTAAATACTGAGACACATGCCACATATCAAGGCTGCTTTGGAGGGATGTCTGCAGATGCGACGTGTTAGGGGAGGGGGGAGTGTCCTGATAGTGGTCCCAAAGGAGCAGCACTCTCAGTGGATTTGTTAATTGCAGAGGAAAAGGCATTTCCTTACAGCCAACAAAAACCAAAAAACAAACCCTTCAGCCTCGACACAGATGTTTTCCCATATAAACTGTAAAATGTGGCTCCATGAGCACTGACAGAAGAAAAGAAGGTACAAATTCCAAGTACAGTACACAACAAATGACTCTGCCCAGAGGAGCACTGCGTGGTCAGACTGCGATCACAGGGGATGAAGAAAGATGGGTCATGTCTTCATTCATCCAGGCTCTAAGCTGGTACGAATGTCAGAAATGCAGGGAAAGACCAGGGAATACCATGTGATGCCAAGTTTACTATGAGGGCCATAAATCAAAGCATATGCTACTTGTAAGAAGAAGAAATTCCCATGTGAATACCACGGAACAACTGAATTATAAAGTCTACTTCTCACCTCCTGAGATGTCCTTTCTAAACATGGAAAATTGAGAGGGCTCAAACCCAGAACCTGTGTTCACACATGTATGGAGGCTGCATTCTTGGCTAGACTGCAGGCACCGGTATTGCACCCAGAAGAAATGCCTAAGTTAGGATGTAATGACCATATAGGGTATGTCAAAACAGCCCAACCCTTTTCATATTATTAAAGATAATTGTGGTGTTCTACTTACCACAATGTTGAAAAACTTGAAACGTGTTAAATATAACAAAACGTCACAAATGGATTTGCATAGGTCCCTGCTCCATGCCTAATGGACAACTTTATAATGGGATCACTCTACTATCTTAGTAACATAGAAAGAATCTTGCCTTAGAAGGACCTAGCTTGCAGTAACTTCTCTTCCATTCTATGATAACAAGGACCCGGTGTATTTTGAGTTGAGTTCTCCTATGGAGCACAGGATAATGGTTTTCTATTAAAATATGTACCAGGCATGACAGACAGCAGGGCTACGCTCAGAGCTCACCTTTCCTTGTTTCTTGCTGGTTCAGGTTTCTTCTCAAAATGTTGCGTGTTTTCCTTCAGGAAGACTTCGTCCTCTCCACTCTCATCAAGGTGCACAGGGGAAAATGTCCCTGAGCTAGTGCCGGGCCTCTCTGAAGGAGCTCTCCAGGTTTCATCCCTAACACGCTCGGTTAAACTACTTGAATTACACAAACCAGCAGATGAGATGAGATGGCTTGGCACTTTGGGAAACTCTTTGCTTTCAGGACAGGCTCTCCTTTCCAGCGACGTCTCAAAATCTGCAGGATGCTGCGTCTCTCTCTTATCTCCTCCTGTCCACAGTATCTCCACCCCTTGAAATTCCACATGTTTGATCCGGCCTGGGCGTCCCAGGGAGCTGCCTCGATCACATCTCTCTGGGTGCACTCTCCCGAGAGCAGACCTCTGCTCCTTCAAGGAACCAACACCGCCCGCGGAGCTGTGGGTCGCTGCTGGGCCCCCCAGCTCCTGCCCACAGAGAGCCCCTTCTCTCCCATCCTTAGTTATCTGGGAAAGCTCTGCCTGAGTGTCTCCAGTTAACAGTGCAGTCAGATCCTTCTGGATGCTCAAATAAAAATCTTCCTCGGTCGTTACTTCAGCTGAAAGAGGTATATCTGGTGACTTTTCTTGGCCAGCAGGGAGTCGTTTGTTGGCTCTCTGTGTTTTATAACTGGCAGTGTCCAGCTCTTTTCCCACCTGCTGAACTGAAAAGCTAGAAACACCACCTTTGTCCGGTACCTTTGTAGCCTGTAATGTTCCCGAAGCTATTCTGGCTTCTGTGGCTTTCAGAGCTGAAATCAAAGAGTCAATGGGTTGTAAACTTTGTTCCTTGAGGTGACGTTGAGAGGGGGCCTCTCTGACATCTTTTGGTCCTTCGGTAACACTGTCGAGCCCAGAGTGGTGGCCACCAGGAAGCTGGACCCCGTGCTGCCCTTGTGGGCGGCATGGCAGAGGCTCTGCATCAAACTCCAGAGAAGTTCTTAGGCCTTCTCCGCCTTCCTCCATGGTCCCATATTCTGGAAATTCATTTGTGACATTCGGTGGGAGTAAAGTGCTTCCTCCATGATCACCTATGAATAGAACAGAATGGACACATGATTTGTTTTGGAACAACGGGGTCCAGGATGTGTTAATAAATATTCACACATATTAGGCACTCAATAATACTTATTAATTGGATTCTTTCACTATCTCCTCCCTCTTACCACCATGTAACTCATACTTCTCATAACCTTGCAGCTCTTTAGCCTAAATGAGTATAACCACAAAACCACATTAGTTAGGCGACAATATGATGACACATGCTGTATTTAACTCTACTTCCGATAAAGTCCCACACGTTAAGATTCAGTAACTCAGTTGCTTCATATGCAAAAAGAGATTTAAATAGGGATACCTTCCAAATACCACCCATAAAATAGCAACTAAAATATTTACATTGGGCATAACACCAAATAGCCTTATGATCTAGCCAACACTATTTTGCTGTGCAATTTCTGAGACAGAGCCTCAGAAAAAAGTCACGATCTATTTAAAGTCAGTAAATATTTTTTCGGGTAGAAGTCTTCCCTTCACTGCTGAATTTCTGTGGGGGAAAAAATGCTTTCAAAACATCCCCCAAAAATGAGAATGAAGTCAAAATGGAATATGAAATTTAATATGTTGAGAAAGATTTACAGGATCCCAACTGAATAAAAATTTTCTTATTTCATTTATTTTTCAATTGACAAATAAAGGTTTTATATATATACATACATGTAGTATACAACATGATGATTTAATATATGTATACACAGTAGAATGGCTAAACCAAGCTTATTAATATATCCATTACCTCATATATTTTTTTTGTGGTGAAAACACTTAAAATCTCCTCTTAGCAATTTTCAAGTATACAATTCATTGTTACTAACTGTAATTACCATATTGTATATTAGATCTCCCGAATTTATTTCTCCTAGTTGAACTTTTGTATCCTTTGACCAACACCCCTCCGATCCCCACCCACCTCCCCCAGCCCCTGGTAAGCCCCATTCTACTCTCTGCTTCTATGAGTTCAACTTTATTAGATTCCACATATTAGTGGGATCATCAACTGCATAAAATTCAGTGGTATCTTACGGAGAACTCTGATATATGAAGCAAAGAAAACAATATTTAGATCGTATATATTTACTATAATGAATCAAATTCACAACATTTTCCTGTTAAAATGATAGTCAGCGAGAACTAAAAATGGGGACATTCTGATAAATGAAAAATTTAAATTGGGCTTTATGGATAACAGCTACAGTATTATCAACCCCCTTCTGAACTTGGTTTTGGTTACCTTGTATCAAGAAAACACTCATGTACACTAGAAATAGAAATACTCATTTTTACTTATGAAAGACATTTGTTGTTATTAATATTTATAAACCATCACCAAGATACAACCTTCCTATTTAGTAAAATATTTGATATAGGTCTGAATAGGTACGGTGAAATGGCATGAAAGACTTAATCAAGTCCAAGGCATGCTCGAAATGAGGTAACTTGGAAACATCAGTTAATACATGGTATCCCACAGTGTGTTAAAATTTGATAAATAATAATATATCTAAGAGTGTATCTTATTTCATATTCCATTTTTTAAAATAATTTGAAATATATCTCTAAAATTAAATTTGAATCAAGTGTTGATACAAACTAAGAAGCATTTTCTGTGATGGCAGCGTTTGTAATACCTTCACAAGACAGAACTGAAAGGACGTAGCTTGCTGACATCTGAGGAGGAAAAAATTTTCAAACTCTGATTTTGAAAAAGAAGACAGAAAAAACAAAAACAAAAAATATCCCTTTACCTAGGGTGGCACACTGACATTTTTATTTTTCCAGTAAAGAATGCAGTAGGACTTTTAATTTGTCTACCTTTTAAGTCAGTGGTTTTTAGTATATTCACAAAATTATGCAACTATCACAACTATCAATTAATTCCACAACATTTTCATCACCCCAAAAAAGAAACTCTGTATCCATTAGCAGCCACTCCCCATTTTTCTTTTGGTAACTACCAATCTACTTTCTGTCTCTATGGAATTGTATATTTTGGATATTTCATACAAACACAATCATATAATATGTGGCATTATGGGTCTGGCTTCTTTCACTAAACACAATGTTTTTAAGGGCTTATTCATGCTGTAGCATGTATCAGAATTGCAGCCCTTTTACTGCCAAACAATATTTCATTGTATGGAAATAACCACATTTTCTTTATCCATTCATCAGTTGATGGGGTATTTAGGTTGTTTCCACTTTTTGGTTACTAAGAATAATGAATTTGTATGTAAGTTTCAGCATCTGCATATATATTCAATTCTCTTGACTACTGGCATTTCTGGGTCATATGGTAAATCTACGTTTAGTGTTTTAAAGAACTGCTAAACAGTTTTCCAAAGCAACTGCATCATTTTGCATTCCTACTAGCAATGTCTGAGGGTTCTATTATCATCCATGTTTTTTTATTACAGACATCCTAGAAGTGGTATCTCACCATGGTTTTGATTTGCATTTCCCTAACGACTAATGATGCTGAGCAACCTGCCATGTTTATTGGCTATTTGTGTATTTTCTGTAGAGACATGTCTATTCAGATCCTTTGCTCATTACATAACTGGGTTATTTGTCTTTTTATTATTGAGTTATAAGTGTTCTTTATATATTCTGGACAGAAGTTCTTTATCGGATATATACTTTGCAAATATTTTCTCCCATTCCATGGGCTGTCTTTTCACTTAAGTGATGTGCCTTTTGAAGCACAAAACTTTAATTTTGATAAAATCCAACTTATTATTTTTCTTTGGGTTTTATGCTTTTGGTATCATATGTAACAAATCATTGTCTAAGTCAAAGTCACAAAGATTACTTCTATGCTTTCTTTTAAGAGTTTTACAGTATTAGCTATCATGTTCAGATCTTTGATCCACTTTGAGTTAATTTTTGTGTATGATGTGAAGTAGAGATCCAACTTTATTCTTTTGCATCTAGATATCCAGTTGTCCCAGTACTATTTATTGAAAAGACTATTCTTTCCCCATTGAAGAGCCTTGATACTCAGGGAGAAAATCAACTGACCATGTATGTAAAGGTTTATTTCTAGACTCTCAATTCTATTTCATTGAGCCAGATGCCTATTGTTAAGCCAATATATCAGGGTCTTGACTGTAGCTCTGCAGTAAATAAAATCTGAAAGTGTGAGTCCTCCAACTTTGCTCTTCCTTTTCCAGGTTGATCTGGCCACTCTAGGCTCCTTGCATTTCCCATATGAATTTTAGGATCAACTTGTCAGACAGTTGACATTTTGATAGCAACTGAAATGAAACGATGGAGTACTGGTTTCTTAACAGTATTACTATTACATTTTTTGATCTGTGATCACGGTTTGTCTTTTCATTTATTTAATCTTCTTTAATTTCTTTAGTTTCTTCTAACAATGTTTTATAGTTTTAAATGTATATAAGTTTTGCGTTACTTTCGTTAAATTTATTCCGCTAAATATTCTATTCCTTTTGACGTTGTATTTGTAATCTCATTTTTAGATCATTTGTTCTTAGCAAATAGAAATACAATTTGTCGTTGTGTAGTGATCTTACATCATACAACCTTGCTGAACTTGGGTTTTGGTTCTAACAGCATTTTTGTAGATCCCTCAGGATTTTCTACATACAAGATCATGTCATCTGTGAAGAGAGAGAGCTTTACTTCTTCCTCTTCAATCCCAATCTATCTTTCCCAATCTACTGTCTCTCAACTCCCCTTTCAAATGTTATACATCATTGCTTCTAAACTGAAGGAGGGTACGGAAAATGAATACCTTGAAAAGGTTCTTTCTAATTCTAATATGGAAATAAAGTTAACCCTACACACACTCTGAACTTTATACTTCGCCTTTGCACAACCTCTTTTCTCCACCTGACATACATTTTCTTCCCGTCTCAATATGATTAGATTATTTTCACCTTTCAAGACCTAACTCAAATCGCTTCTCCTTAATTAAGCCTTCCCTTAATCACCAACCCTTGAAAAAAGTCATCTCTCCCTACAAATAAATGTCAAAAGAACTTCAGCTGTATGTTACATACAGTGCAAATGTATGAGCATAAAGTTAGCTCACATATTAAAGCTTTTTCCAAAGGCTACAGTTTTTAACCCATCATAAAGTGGTTTTAAGAAAATTGACCAAAGTGACCACTGAAGCCATATTTATATATAACACCCATTGTTGGATGGATTTCACTATCCAACAAAGGTTAGTGAAGTTAAACTTTACCATTTGGAAGACCATTTTGTTCTAACAATTTAACTCGTCATCTGTAAAACAACCACAAAAATAAACACTGCCCCAAAGAGAAGTGGGCACAAAGAAATCAAGAAAGGGGGCCTCAAAGAAATTCAATAATTCCTTGGCCCCATTTTTAATACTGTTCATTGAAATGTCCCTCAGAAAGGGACAGCAAATGCAACAATTGTGGGCAAAGGCTTGTGATGTTTGGTATAACAGCTTGGCAAATCATCAAAGAAAGTGAGATCAGATAAAACAGGGAAGGGCAAAAGCAAAGCCCTGCATGACAAAAGCTTGCTTTACTATCGGAATAAATTCTCCAGGTCTAAGATTACTGTTCTCATTAAGGACTGGTGTAGACCAGGGGAAACAAATGTTCTGAGAGGCTACACGACCTGATCAAGGTCAATAAAATGATGTTCAATAAAATTTTATATCAGAACTAAAAGTCAGGACTAGATTCCTGGTCTTGTGTCTCTCGGGAGTAAATGCCTGGGAAAAACTCAGAGACCACTGAGTTGTCAGATCATCCCTTCTAATAGCAGTGATATTAACAAATATATTGAAGAATGAAGAAAGTCTTCTAGTTGTAGCTAATGGGTAGAAACAGCCACATCCCTAAGGATTCAGCACAACAGCAAATCTTTCCTTCTGAATAAGGCACCCCTTTGTCATACTGCAAGAGCAGTTTATTTTTGCTGTTTGCATTTCTTGTCACAACTTGAACTGTCCTTAACAACAAACAAA